AAAAAAAAAAAAAAAAAAAAAAAAAAACTTTATTGAGAAGAAATAAAATAATTCATCAAATTTTGTGGATAGTATTTAACATTATAATTAAAAATAATAAATATCTAAGTTGAATGATGAATTATTACATATTTGTAGTTGGTTCCCCACTCTTTTCCTTTGGTCATTAATTTATAAAATCATTGACTTTGTTCATCTATATAATTAAATATCTATTACTCCATGGCCCATTTGGTAAATATTTTTCTTCTTCAATTACGTTATTTTATTTATTAATTTATTTTTAGAAAATATGATTGGATTTCTAAAAATATAATTCTCATTAATTTTTTTTACTATTTTTTCTTTTGTCTTTTTGAAATTATGTCAACCACAAACATGCTGAATGATGATGAATGTAGACATATTTTTTTAACAAAGAAATTATAATAAATAAAAAAAATCTTTTAGGATATTTTAATTAATATAAGATTTATCCACTTTTGTTTCTAGAAAATGTATGGCCACTCTTTATAAATAAATCATATCTTGAGGGCCAAAGAAATCTATCTCCTTTTTTATTTTTTTTTATTACCATTTTCTCTATATTATAATTATTATTTTATATCAAGAGATAAAATCAGAACCTTATCCTATACCTAATTTATTAAAATGATAACATAAAAAAATTCAATACAATTTTATCCATTTAAGGAAACTTATCCTAATTTATTGAAATTTTCGGGCGTTGAAATAGAGAAATTTCAAAGTCAAGGGCGCCTAACTTAAAAACAATTTTGAATAACCGTTAGAAAATTTTAAATATTATTTAAAAAATTCATATTTTTTGTAGAGGAATGGTGTTATTATTAATAAGAAGTTTATAGGTAAAAAAGGGCGATAGAAGTAGTAGTGTGGTTTTATGTTATATAAAGTATTGGAAAAACAGTGCAAAAAGGAGAAGAGGAAGCGTAGAAGTAAAGTTGGGGCTCTCCACTATGTTGATGTCAACATATGATGCATTTCCCAATATCAAACACTATGGTGTATGCCCCATCTCCTATCATATCTGTCTATCTATCTATCATCATTTTTCTTGTTAAATAGAAAAGCTTCCATCTCGTTATCATGGTTGAATTGTATTGACTTGTTTTTTATGATTTAGTCATGTGTCATAGACATTTATCTCTAGATCATCGTTTATTCATTCGAAACCTCATCTTTAAGTATTTTTGTTAAACTGAAAAATAGTTTAGATTTGATTTAACGTTTTATGATCTAGGTAATCCTCACAATCGAATAAAACTTACCTCTTGATTGTTCATCAATAATCCTCTCATTTACTTTCTTTGTAAAGTTTAATTGTTAGTCTCACGGTTTTAAAACACGTCTACTAGGGAGAGGTTTTCACATTCTTATAGGGAAAGTTTCGTTCCCTTCTTCAACTAATGTGAGATCTCACAATCCACCCCCTTGCAAACCCACCCAACGTCCTCTTTGAATCTTCCTTTTTAGACTTTCCTTTCAGGTTTTAAAACGTGTCTGATAAGGAGAAGTTTTCACACCCTTATAAAGGATGTTTCGTTTCCCTCTCCAACCGATATGAGATCTCACACTTTTGCTTATCAATGAGCTATGATAGTCAACACGTTGTCTCTAAATCACCTTTTATAAAAGTTAAGCGCGTTTAAAATTATAGGACGGGTCAGATTGAAACTATCCACAAAGGATAGGATCAAATTGGAAATGGAAAAAAGAAGAAAAAAGAAGAAAAAAAGATGTAGTTATGTGGTGGGGGCAGTAGTGGTGAAGCCTAGCCAGTTCCAGTTCTAGTTGAATTGATTGTGTTGGCTCTTTTTTCCTTTGTTTGATTTCTTTCTTTACAAAGGCCCCACTCCCCACCCAGACACACACACACACACACACACACATCACTCAACAACTCAACCCTCTTTTTGGAGCAAAATGTGAGCCTTTTCCCCCTCTCACATCACTATCACTCACTACTCATGAATTCAATATCAGTATCAATTTCAAGATCATGACCAACTGTATCAGCTTAATGCTCATTACACACCCTTCAACCCCACTACCCCACATGACTTCAACCATTTCTTCCATAAAATCAAAATGAGCTTGACCCTGCTGCACGCGGTTGATTTGATTGAGCGAGTTTGATCGCATCTCGGATATGCCAGATTTCTTCCTTTCATCCAAATTCAAAACAAAAAGACAAACAAACAAGTCATTGTACCTCATATAGAAAGTTGGGTGTCGTGTGGGGATCGATTTATTAATGTCATTTAACGCGTGATCTTAATGATTATCTCGTATGTATTTCTTGTTCAACGTTATTTAGTAAAGAGTATGGTCCTCAATACATTATATCTTATCTCATCAACCCTGTCATATAAGCTTATGACTTTCTCGACTTTATTCTATGGATAGATTCGTTTGTGATTGTTCTTGAATTATATGACTCGTTATTCGGGATGATCAGAGGCTAATAATTATTTAACATGGTAGATGTTAAGGGTGGGAGATGGTGGGTTTGAGCTTTTTAGAAAGACAATAATAATGGTGGGTGAGGATAAGAATCCCACCATCTGGGCTCCAAAAGCATAACCCCCGCACGAACCACCACTCGCCTAGGAATCATATCTTAAACCATTTTGATTTTCTTTTCTTTGGCCTTCTTTTCTTTTTTGTGTAATGTGGGAATTTCAATGCTCTTCCAATCACTCTCTACTTTTACATGAAATCTCAGCGGCACCAACGTCTCCTCTCATGTCTGATATTGGGTGGAGTAAGTCTAAAGTTTTAAAGAACACATAATTCTTTATACCCCCGAGATCCAAATCAAACGCTTCAATCATGTCATTGAAACATATCCCCTTCACACACAAAAGGAAAAGTAAACGATTACTGCTTGGAAATTGTTTCGAAAAAGCAACTAGCTAGCTAGCTATCTACTTTTGCTAACGAGCGAAAGCTTGTTTAGCCTTAAGAAACGTTTCACCTTCATCTTCATCATAGCTCTAGATTTGCTGAAAATGTGTTTTGATGTAGAGAAATGGGAATCTTAAACTACATGTCTCCTACCAATACATAAACCAAAAGAAGAAGAAGAAGAAAAAAGAGCCATTTTGAGGCATTGAAACTTTGCTTTAGATACAATGGTCCACTCAAAAGGAAATGTGAAGAAGAATACAAAGCATAATGGAGATGGGTGAAAGTTGAAAGTGACAGAACAAGAAAATCACAAAAAAAAAAAAAAAAAAAAAAAAAAAAAAAAAAAAAAAAAAAAAAAAA